GTATCGCCCTAAATCCGTCGCTTTTAATTAAATGCGCGACCTGCTCCTTAACAAAGTCGATAAAGTGAACAAAGTCGTAAAAGAATTAGAAACTTTATACACGCAAATCTCGAGAGTTTTTGCTACGAATTATATCAGATTATGCAGGACAAATTAAATATTTTTTCATGTTCGAGGACATATATTGTATTAAAATTAGAGATGCACCGGGAAAAATTATCAGATATCCGGTGCATCTCTAATTAAAACATTGATTTTGTAATAATTTTAACTAATCGGATATCCTAGACCTGTATTCTGTACACACCAACCGACAATTGCTAGTGTCGTCATGTGTCGTTTTTGTGCCATGTAAAATATTTTCGCAACGACATATAACGACACCAACAACTGTCGGCAAGTGTGTACAGAATACAGGCCCTGGCTGTCCCAGAATTGGTGCGAAAAAAATATTACTGATCTTATCGTTCTTCACAACGCTAGGCAAAAACAAAAATTAAAATCTCAGTTTCAATATTTAATTCTGTTAAAGAAAAATCTACTTGAAATCTAACAATTGATGATTTCATTCATTCTTATCTCTGAAATTTAAAGATGTTTTCCAGCAAGAAACAAAGATGTCACAATATAATACAGAAATCATCACATCCTTGTATCGGTCAATGTTAAACAAAGATGACATAATCACGACTGTTATAATCACTGTCTCTTTCTGGAAAACATCATTAAACTGCAAAATATGATTTATTTTTACTAGCTTATAGAAACTAATCATGATTTTATTATAGTCTAAAATTATTAGCACGTAAGCGACTGAGGAGTAAATTTTACAAGCATATCCGTCGTCTACCAATTCTGGAATAAGCCAGCAGATGTGTAATTGTGCATCGCTGATTCGCATTTAAAGGAATCTATGGTACCCCACGATGCTTGGGTCTTTTATTCTCGGCATAATTTAACATACACTACAATCAACGGAGAACGTTACGGAGAGCATTGAGTATTCTCGCATCAACTCGGCGAACTCGGGAAACGCTTTACAATTTCACGACAAAACCGTCGGCAGAATTGGGAAATGTAATGCCATCGTCTAATATTTCACATCTACAAGATTTTCGCGTAGCATATTGCTGTGGACAGGAGGACGCTTTTCTCTTTTGCTCGACAGGATTGTGGTACGCGAAAAAATCATGAGATCATTCTCATACACGTAAAAAATCCACGGTAATCTCAATTCACATTCGTCTGTATATCTCGAAGTATCTCAAAAGTGTAAAAGAATGCCGGAATCACGGTCTCCTCACCGCGCGCTCTTCCACGACGCGGCTCGAATTCCCTCTAACAGCCGCGAAATCGACAGATCAAAATCAACATTCTCACACGACAACGTTTCATGACACACGAATCTCGGATTCGTCACGCAATCTCATCTCATTTCCTCTCTCTCCCTCTCTCAGGACACAACAATATCGAGCGATTTACAGAGCGCAGCTAATTCTACAATAAAATTCGTTTACATTTTATGAGCGATATTAAAATTGCTTTATATCAATCCGTATTTACATATTTCGTAGATCACTTCCAAATCGTTTTGCAAGGCATCCTTTGAGCAGTGAGCACTCTCATCCCGCGCGAAAAAAAATTCACTGATTCAGGAACGAGAAGATGCCAATAGTGTCGTAGGCATCGCTATTTCAAACGATTTGAAATATGTAGCCTGACAATTAAATTCATAGGCAAAATTCACTTAAAAATACATACAATATATATACGAATACAACACAATACAAACATATGAACACAATTTATTTGTTTAATAAACAAGATAAAAATACTCAAGTTTTTTTTTAAGTAAATTATATGTATTTTATTTTTTTAAATATGATCTTATTTAACGACATTTACACGCAATTTTTTTCTTATTTTTTTTAAAGAAAACATTGATTCTATTTTGCTAAATAATTGCAACAATGATTATTCAGTATATTGTTCATAAGCTTCATTAAGGTTCATTGTTAAAATGAAACTTATGTTAAGTATAGCAAAAAGATAAAAGAATGCACATCTAATGTGTTCCCAACATTGTCTAGATGATAACAGAAAGAAATGTTTGCATCTATAAACATAATTGTCAGACCACGTAGATCTATAATCGCGACGACTCACGCACGAATGTTCGAGCTGATCAACTATTATTCATTGTACAGTCATTCATCAACAATTTTATTTTACCTCTTATGGCTCTTATACAAGTTATTTTATTTTATCCTACTTTTTTTTTACTTCTCATATTGTAAGGAACTACGTTTTCCCTGAAAATATCTTCAGACATTACGGAAATTAAAGCGCGAACATTCGTGCCTCAGTGACAAGCTTGGTACGGTTCCAGTGTCTGTTAAAAGTTGTCTTAAACCACAGCTTTTATGTAGATCGATTTAACAATTTATAGACTTAATAGCGTGGCAGAATGCGCAATCAACCAACTCTACATCGTTTATCTCTCCTCGTTGAAATGTGTGTGTGTGTGTGTGTGTGTGTGTGTGTATATAATTTAGTTTTTTTACATACACTACGTATATAAACAATCTCCTCTCGATCTACATATATATCAGATACATACTGGACGACTTTGCTCATTCTCATCTAATACCGCAGTATTCCCCCGTTCGTCTTATGTATTATATTACTCAGTCATCTCATTTCTTCATCTCGCTCCGCCAAGTACACGCGTTCTCAGTGCTCTAAACAAACGACATTATCACTTTTGCTAGTAATAAAAACTCACGCCTGTAGTTCTTAGACGACCATTAACAAATACATTCAACCGTCATACACACATGTGTTTATCGAGCAATCCAGTTTGACATTCTCAAAGTTAGAGGAGACTTTTCTCATCTATATACGTAACACGTATATCGACGAGAATTCACGCTAATGAGAGAGAAAGAGTGAGAGAGTATTATCATTAGAACTGTATATTAAGTAATATCTCGCGTTCAAAAGAAGGAAACTGATGAAAAATCACTGTACGATAAAATAAAAAGCACAACAGTACATACATCTCTTATATAGAAGGATTATATATTTTTTTATTCTTTCAATTAATATACTCATAAGAGATAATTAGTGTACTCTCTGAAATAGTTGATCTAAATAATTCTTTTAACGTGGTATACAGTGATATCGCGGTGTCAAATGCGGTCTTTAAGTTTAACTGCGACGCTATTTCGTATGTTAAAGTTATTGACTATAATTGTGAAATGTGAATTGCATCCTTCCTCATGCTATGACTCTTTCTTTTTCTTTCTTTCTTTCTTTGAAAAATAAATACTCTCGACCAGTAAAGCTATCTTTTTCATTATCGTTCAATCAGGAAACAGTTCGAAAGTCTTTTCATTAAGGATATTTCATTCAAATGACACATTATACACAGACATATAAGACATCTAAACAGGTTCTCTTCCTTTTTTTTTTCAAATCACTCAATTAAAATGGAAAAATCTGATCAAACGATTCAAACGATTTTCTTTCACACACAATCGATCAATAATTTTGACACACCTGCACACTAATGTAAAATTCTCACATAATAAGCTATATTTATGTGTTACATTTTAGATATTTGAAACATAAGTTCAAATCGATAATAATATACAATACGGATAGCTACGATCAAGTGTTCTCTATGTTGCGAGCTATTCTGATTCATACATACATTCTCTCTCAGGCAATCATATCATTCGCAATTTGTACGCTCCTTCTAAAAATCTTAACATTTTGGAAATTTTTTTCGCAGATAAAGAATGCTGCAAAATAGAATAAGATGTTATTTCAAAGATACCACACAAAAAAAATTTCGATCCACTTAATGCCTAAAATACTAATTTTCGATTTTAATTCCAATTATTTCTCTACATGAAAATGTATCTTTTTTTTCATAATTCTTACTATCTCAGTTCATTACATTTTACATTTATTCATTTTATTTGTTATTTAATATTTGGAAACAGATTTCTTCAAAATAACGCAATGATATTTCACTCGTATAATGGTGAATATATTATATAGAATTACAAAATAAAGTTGCTTCCCAAACATTTTGCTAAAGGATGTTATAAGGAAGATAAAAATATCAGAAATGACTGCGCAGCTTTAAGTAAAGTATCCTGATTCGAATGCAACTGTCTATTCCCGCAGCAGTAAAATTCGCAAATCTAGAATCTCTGGAATATATCAAGGAAAAATTATGATTCTAAAATAAATAAGGAATCTGTCGTTAAAAAGTAATGCGCAAGAAAATGGAATATTCTAAACAGCTTGAAAACGCGATGGCAAGTTATACATTGTATTACATTACGCTTTTTACAAAAAACGTCTAGCAATTCGGCGCGGCTCTCGATTCGTTACAACAAATTATATAATTGGCTTTGGTCTCACGGGTACCATCTATTACCACATTGCACCCATTCGATCGATCGCTTTAGTTACAAACTAATTTAGTTCTCATAACTAAGGTGATCAATCTAGTCTCCTCCTACATTAAATTTTTGATGTAGACAAGGAGACAAAATTTAATTATAATTAAATAAAAAAATGTAGTTATAGTTAGAGAAAGCCAGAATCTCAATAAACACTATTAAGTAAGTATTTATTAAAGCCCCCTCTATTAAAGAGATTTGTGACAAAAAAAGACTTTAGCTATTTCCGATTTTCCAATAATTTAATAATTGCTCGTCGAGAAAATGTATACTTAAATAAAATGGAAAAACGATGTAGATGCAATTATATGTAACTATAATTATTTCCTATGTGATCGTTTCGCCCCTCATCCAAGTTCACTTGATTATTAAAATTGTTATTGTTTCCTTGGACTTTGTCGCGATTTAAAAAATGTACTGAGACACACATTATCTTTGCTGCAGAGCGACTGAGCGATCTCGGAATCTAAGCAAATAACAAATGAGAATGTGCGAAAGGATTTCATGTGGCAGTTATTTTTTTTTTAGTAAGATTGTTTTGGTACACATTTCACTGGGTTTAATAAGTACGGATCTACAATAAGTGTTCTAAGCCTGAAATCGTAAAAGATTGATCAATTACAGTCGAATGCGAGGAGAACAATCGACTGCGATTCATCCATTTTTTATAGTTTAAGGCTTAAAACACTTATTGTAGATCCAGACTAAATGAAGTAGCTTAAGTCTTCTTGGGACTCAGATCTCATCAGGTATCTTTGTACATGTAAATTACACGTTTACCAATTATTATGCTAAGCAATAAATGTATTCGACCGTGCAATCTTATCATTGTACAGCTAAGCTGCTCACACATCAACTTCATACGTATTGATTTTATTCATGCCACTATTCATCGGATGCTCACATCAGAGAGTGACACAAAAATCGCGCACATATATTCGAATGATCGAAGCTATCCGTCTACAATTGATGTAAACCTAAACGAACGGAATTGTGCTAATTTGTCAAACCAATAAGAGAGGGTAAGATCTTGAAATATTATAATACACGCAGTGGTGATTAGTGCAAAACATTAGAAAAAACGTCAACGTACTATAGGCTCTAGGTCTTTTTCTTTTTCTGAGGTCGACGAGCTTTTGAAAAACATCGATCTCATCAATTACCACCGTTCGTTATGGTTGTTGCATCGGGACCCGTGGATAGAGGATCCGTTTGGTTTTACGAGTAGACCCACGGCCCCGGTTGAATTTACTCGTACTTGAGAAAGGTATTCGACTTCTGGTCGCGCTGACCCGGGTGATTCTGCCAGGCGCCCTGGGACGCGTTCGGGTTATTCGGCCCGGGGCCGCCGGTGCCGGGATTACCAGTATTACCATCGCCGCCGCCTTGGTTCATCCAGCTGAGAAAGCCAGAATTGCCACTGTTACCAATACTATTGTTACCGGAGGGCGGCTGGCCCGGTGGGCCCGGCTGGTTCGAATAACCCTGGTCGTTTCCCTGGTTCTGCAGATTACCGATCAGACCCCAGGACGCCTGGTTCAGAGCGGCGGCCACCAATGCCGGATTGACCGGCAACGCAGATAGATTCAGACCACCCATCGCCAGCGGATTCGACATACCGCCTCCACCACCACCACCGTTGTTTTGACCGGTGATACCAAGGGCTTGTAGATTTGGCATGTCGAGATTACCGCGATTTCCCGGATTATTCCAGCCATTCGGGCCCATATTGTTGCCCGAATGGCCCATATAACGGTTACCCTGATAATTGCCCTGGACGTTATTATCGACGGGTCCCGGCGCGCCCCTGCCGCCCCTCATGTTCGAGTTAACTTGATTATTAAAATTTTTATTGTTTCCCTCGGACTTGGGCGCGGCATTCGAGACGTGTACCGAGACACCCTTGATAATATGATCTTCGCCACAGAGCGACTGAGCGACCTCAGGATCTAAGAAAGTGACAAACGAGAATGCGCGGAAAGGTTTCGGGATGAAAACGTCCGTGACTTCGCCAAATTTGGAGAAATATTCTCGTAGATCGTCCGCGGTTAGATCTTCTGTGCAGCGGCCGACGAAAACCTTGCAGGGAACTTGCTGTATCATTCCTTCCTAAAAAAATGTTATATCAAATATGTACGAGGTTTACACGGGTATCCAAGTAAAACTTGCGTACAGTGCACATTACTCACAATACCGCCGGCGGTAGAAATCGCTCTGCAAGGCGTGTAGCGTTCGTCAAGAGAATGGCAATACGTAACATAGATACATTATAATTTACATCGAGTGTATCACATGCATATTACACACAATCAATGTTCCGTAGAGACGCAGTATGAAACTTCTCGCTTCCAGCTTAGTACTCTAACATTCCGTCGATTGCAATTAATCTGCACTAAACGTCAAGTTTTATGTAGAAAATTCTTAAATATTTATATCTATCGGTTCAAGAAAAGACGCCGGCTGGCTCGATTTATATGTAAATCCACATATATTATATAATGAACACTTAAACACTATGACCACTTGAAATCCATGCATCAATCTGTACAATGTCTGTTTCTTTATATTCACAATGTAGAAAATCTCATGCTACATTACACTGCCTTGATTTGAATAAGTACGTATCTGATAAAATGTGAACAGTTATATTTCAGACTAATTATTTCTACCATTAGACAACATATCTGTTATATTTAACAAACACCATGAATTAATGGGAATATATATATAAATACTTTTTCTTTGTTAACTCAATCGATTATTTACTTTTAAGATCTAAATTATCTCTTTATTGTGCATACAATTATCGAGAAATATTTTCAATAAGAACCTCATAATTTTGAAGGAGAAATATGTAATTTTTTTTTATTAAATGCTTTAAGATATATTTTTAAACGTACCGTATGATTTTTCTTACATAATACTATTTCAGAAATAAATTCTATTTTTTTTTTATACATAATACCATTTCTTTAATCAGTTTCCATATAAGCTATTTGTAATTACAAAAACATTTTATATTTCATATTGATCTTATGTTTTATTCAAATCTTGATATAAAATATGAACATTTTATTAATTTTTCAATTTAATATACAGAATAATGAGATGAGTTAATTGGTATAAAAAAAATATTGTCTTATAAAATTATTACAATTATTTTCTAAAAAAATTTATATAATCTGTACAATATATTATTACATATATATCTTTGTCTTAAATAAATGTTTGAACTGCGATTTTTAAAATACAGATAATTTAGATCATGAAATTAAATGCATGTGTGCTTGACATATTGCTTGAACAAAATACAATGTACAATATATATATATTTATGTATTTAAAATTTATAATTTTTCAAAAATTATACCACGCATCTTTTTAATTATTTTCGGTATTTCTAAAATAATTCATGATCAATTTTTAATATATTTTTATCAGAATAATATTAAATTAATAAAATTCAAAATAATACGAGACAAAAATCAGCAAAATAATCATCAGAGATTTCATCTCTTGCCTCTCTAAAAAATATTAACTGCCTTTTGTGTGCGACATGAACGCAGCAGTAAAAAAGTGTTTGATAAGTCAAATGTTAATAAGTACTCAATTAAAATAATCAATATTTTACGTGCATTTATATAAAATTGTATAAAGTAAATATTTCTGATTTTAATAAACCGCGCATCCACATACTGAATACTTTCCAACATTCATTCACACAAATTTTCAACGCATTTTATGTACGAATTTGTATCCATATCAAAGAAATCCGCCAAAATAACACGTTGAGAACAATACATAACAATAATATTAACATTCGTAGTGCTTGTAGATGCGTGATATAATATGCGCTTGTAGATACGTGGAATGTGCAATCTGAATCTTGGGAGAAAAGATCATCGTCGCGAGTCGACATATATACAGTCTACTATTCCCATTAAAACATGATTGATTGTAATTACGATAATTTTCCTCTTCAGTATCTTGACGTATCCGCGACGTGGTGATCCCTCGATGGCCGATGTTTGTAATAGCGATCATAATAGTTCTCCTTCGCCGGGTATCTCGATGGATCAGCGTATCTACCGTCGACTAGATCGCGACCGTCTGACGTGGCGGCATAGCGGCTGTCGACCTCGCGGTTATCAATCGCGTACCTGCCATCTATTGGTTCCCTACTGTCGACGTACCTTCTGTCCATTTCACGACTGTCTACGTATCGACAATCTGCTTCCCGGCTAGGATCGACCGGCAAATGCCGGCTGTCTGGGTGTCTCCCATCTGAATAACGCACTTCGTACCTGCAGTCAACTGCAGCGACGGCATAACGGCCGTCAGCCTGGTCATAGTAGCACCTTTGGTCATACCCGTAATTGCTGTACCTGCCCTTGTCGTACTGCTCCGGACAATTGTCAGCTGGATAGACGGCACGTCCCTCGCTGTAGTACCGCGATCCATATTCCGCATCGGAGGGATACGGGGGATTAGTGGGCACCGCGGCGACGTTTGCATGCGGTGGCGGCATGTAGCCACGAGAATCATAGGCGGCGGGGTCCTCGTAGCCGGCGTAGGTTGGCTTCTCGTTGTAGGAGTTGTAGGCGGCCTGCTGCTGACCGCCACCACCACCACTGCCACCGCCACCGCCGCCGCTACCGCTTTCATACTTGTACTTGTTATCGTCGTAAGGATAATTCGGGGGATATGACGGGTAGTGAGTGGTTTTGTAATCATATTCCGAATCGTATCTCGGGGGTGGCGCGCTCGGGGGTGGAGCAGTGGCCTCGGATGACGAGTTTACGTTGGCTACGTACGGCTTCGACACCGGCACTCGGCGACTACTCGGTGTGTGCACCGGTATAGGTCGGTAGCACTCGTTACCGTGCTTACCCGTATCATACTGACGTGCCATCATTAATCCATCAATATTCTGCAACCAGATTACACCAGCCCTCGACAATCACATACAGACTTGATCGTAATGCTGAAGCATACATCGCATTCGCTCCGCTCAACGCTCCGTAACAACGCGGCACACATCTCAAATTATTTACCGTAAAATGAGATAATTTGGCCCAGTCGGGACAACTTTCATTCAAAAAAAAAAAAAAAAGAAAAAAAAAGAAAAAAAGTCTAGACAGCACGAATGTCTAATCATATAAATATTAAAACATCTTTAAGATGTCTTATGCTAGTAAGATTATATGGCAGTATTCATAGTCGATTCTTATAGGCTTTCTACAATAAGCTGTTAATAGATCAAAAGAGCGAGTTGTAAGCGAGCCAGTGTCATAAGGCAACAATAAGTGATCAATGACTGCGTGGAGAACAAATTCCATTTCTTATAATTTAAAATTTAGATTACGTTATGACTAGCCAATCATATATTATTTGCCTGAAAACTATATTCCTTTAGATTAGTTAAAATATTGTAACGTAATGATCTAATACGATTTATTTTGAATATAAGTTTCCTAAGACTTATAATTTATGACTTATAATTCTGACTTATTTCTAGTAAGATGTGAACGATGACTAACGACTTATTGTAGAAAGCCATTTAGAAATTGATCATTCACAGTTGATTCTTATATTTAAGACTATCTTAATCCAATCTCAAGATGTCATGAATCCAAACCAATCAAAAAGATGAGATTTTAAAATATTATTTCAGTCTTAAAATAAAAACAGATTATGAATATCGGCCAATAGTCGATTCTTCTCATATTCGATTGTGATTGATCAATTTCTTATGATTTAAGACTTGGGCTTAAGTAACGGTTCATTATAGAATGTTAGACCGTTATGTTTATTAAGACCAATTATATAAGTACAGTTTTATTATATTATATTATTATATTATCATAAACAAGACAGTTATATAAGCATCTTAAGATATTAACGTATTAATATATTAGCTTAAAATAGTCTTGAAATAAGAACCAACCATAATTACCGGTCTATGTTTTGATTTTGACATATGCTATCTGGACATTAAAATTTGAATCAAAGTTATCTCGATTTTGAATCAAAATTATTCTATTTTACAGTATTCGAATACGTGTTGATACCCTGCCAGTGGAACACGCGAACGTAAACGATTTCGCAGCGCAGAATCTATTCCGCGAAACGTGATACGTCATGAACTATTACACCATTCATTCGCGAGTTTTTCATTCATGATTATGCATTCTTTCTAGAATCGCCTCGCCAAGATTTTTTCCATGTGACCTCACACGTTCTGGAGAGACTTTAGAGCATTACTCGTATCGTAACGACGCATCGCGAATCTCACAAAATTGGTCAGAAGCATCGTATTACGGTAGCTCGCGCGAAGAGATTCTCGGATCTAAGAAATTGGTTCACGGCTGATGTCCATTTCTACCAACGTAGATTAACTTTAATCTCGGTTTAACTTGCTTTTTATCTTCTTCTAGTTCTAAAAATCAGAAAGAGTAAATTAAACTGAGATTGAAATTAAATTATATTGATAGAAATGGACATGAGACATACTCCACATACGCGATTGCGAGGTCTTGCATTTACATTCTTCAACACACAAAATCATATCCGTACAATATTTGATATATCCAGGAAGAAGATATGCGCGCTCAAAAACGAAAATATCGATCTTTTCCTTCAATTATTCTCTCTCAATGCGCGACACATTCCTCATAATTATTCTCATTCACGCGTACTTGGGATGTTAACGCAATTTAGCGATTATTTTAATTTTTATCAACGTAAAGATATTTCGAGATAGGTAGTATGAGGATTTTTTTTCTTATTTGAAGTGATCGAGGCTTACGAAAGCTTCGGCCACTTTTAAGAAATCTTGAGAAAGATAACACACGACGCGTTAAGATTTGTTAAATTGGATATGTTTTTATCGAATCATTTCTCTCTCCATTGCAATGCCTCTGACACAGGACTATTAATCACTCTCTTAAAGAGATCTCATACCGTTTTAGAGACACAAACATACTATATTATTTACATGTTCACGCAAGCACACCGTTAACGTCGCTCTCTCCATGGCTCACGCACCACACTCGTATAAACATACATTCGTACATACAGACATTTTGCATTCTTTCTATATAATTCCACCACTTATAGCCGTTCGCACATTCACCTATTTATACCACACAGCAAAATACGTCTCATATACATAAAAATAACATATTCAAGGAATATGAGAAAATATTCGCTTAAAGCATTATGTGATAAAATGGAAATAGACAGAAAGATAAGGTATTATCCATATCCACAGTTGTAAGCTCTTATCAATTTTAGCCGATTGTCTCTCACACGACATTTCATCTTTTACTTGAAATATTACACGTGTGTTCATATCTGTACATATCTTAGAATACATAATCTTAGATACATAAAGATTTTTACAGCAATCGAAATGAGAAAAAATTTGCCTTATACCGAGTGTCTGAGATCACCCATATATCTTCTATCACGAAAACAGAGCCAAGGCTACAGAAAATAAATTTAAAAATTCCCTGGCTTTTCAAGGTTTTTCAGACAAAAATGGAAAATTTCCATGACCAATATAAAAATATGTAAAAAATTTTAACACTTAGAATCAAGTATTGTAAGAAAGCTGGTTTATATTATTAAAACCGCAAAAAAAGCTCAGTAGCATAATAAAATTTTAGGAGCAAATTTAAGCCAATAAAAAATAAAAAATTAGTATTGGAAAAAAACAATGCAATTATGACGAAAAAAAGCGATTAAATAAAATAACTAAATAAAATATAAATTTTAATTATATTTTAAAAATCGTTTAAAGTGCACAAGTTTTTAACATATTTGACTATAAACGTTAGATATAAAAAACTATGAAAATTAATATATATAGATAATAATTATAATATATACAGATTTAAAAACTATGAAAATTATTTAAAATAGGAGCAGTTAACGGGATTGTGAGTAAAGTTCAAAATTCCTCTTATTTTTCCTTGACTTTTCCAAGTTTTTTTCATGACCAATTTCAATTTCCCTGACTTTTCCTGGTTTTTCATATCTGTGGCGATTCTGAAAGCATTTTAGAAAAAAACGTTTCAGACAAAATTTTATGATATACATAAAATGGTCATTGATTTGAGCTTGAATAATCATTTGAAAGTCATGAAGGTTAAAATTGATTTTTCATTGCATATTCTTGTAGCTTGAAAGCTTTCCAAAACACTATAATCAAATATTTTTTTATTAAGAACTTTTTAAGTTATGAGACTTAAAAATTACACTACCGCCGGCATTAGTATTACGCAACGTGTGTCCGATGGTTTAAAATCTCTTGAATGTTGTTCAGGATCATGTCCTGGATAAGATTTATCAAAATCAAGGCCATTAGAGATTATTGTTTTACAAGATATTTTGTATTTTGTTAAAACGTTGAAATTTTCAAGTCTTATAACTCAGAAAGTTTTTAATAAAAAAATAATTGATTATAATGTTTTGGAAAGCTTTCGAGACAAGCTACAAGAAATGCAATGAAAAATAGGGTGTATCATTTGGAAAAATCAATGTAACCTTCATGATTTTCAAACGATTGTTCAAGGTCAAAATCAATGACACCACCTTATGTATACTTCGAAATCATACAACTTTTGTCTGAAACATTTTTTCTAAAATGTTGCTCTGTTTCCGAGATAAAAGGGATGTATAGACACCCGGTATATTAGAAAGTTAGATATTACTTTCTATTCTATCTCAAGTGTTTTTTAATTTTTTAAATTTTCCTCTTTAACAAGGCAACCTTACACAAAATGATAAATTCTGATTTTTATGAAACTTTATATATATATA